CCCTGGTCTTCACCGACCTCGCTCAGACTTTGCCCGGTCTGGCATGTGCTCACCCATGTGCTGTGCATCGATAATCACAACATAGAAGCCACGAACTACTTCCGTGTGATCCCTTGGAGATATCGGTGAAGCTACGTAGTGGACGTGACCTCAACAGAGATGACTTCTTTTATCTCCCCTGTAATTGTGGCCGGGCGCCCTGCAAAGGCGACTTGCCCACTATCCTCGTTCTGGAGGTATCTATTTTTACAACTGAGTAAGCTGTATAATTAACAAGACAAAACATGGAACATTTTTTCTAATTATGCTGCTATTCTGGCCTGTTTTCCTTTCTCCATCGAGTATAAAGATTTATAAAGCTTGAAGAGCTGACCGACTAGGACCGTTCTTCATTTGAGGGAATCCTTTCTCGTAAACAAACATGATCAAGGATCTCAAAGGCTATGCTTGATCAGACAAGAGTTCAGAGCTTGTAATAAAGTTTGACTTGCATATGGTTCACCGAGGGGAAATGTCACATCCTATCTCTGGCTGAATAAGGCTGTAAACCCTGTAGAATGACCTCATGCATATGCATAAGTGCAAGTAAAAATATGTACGGAAGTGAATTTCATTTGTATTTTAAGCCTTGCAAAAACAGATTTCGCACCATTCTGCTCCCATCTCGAGAGAGGCATCACTTATCTGTCCTCATCGGTTTTTAGCTTGAGCTGCACATGCAAAGGAAATCCCTTCAAGCTTGGCAAGGTTATTCTTTGCGGCGCAGAATTATACAACACGCACAGTAGTGGAGTTGTAAACGGAAGAATTGGGTTAGAGCAGGCATCCCAGTAGTTGTCGGACAAATTTGGCCCGTGAGCGGCTCAGCTCCCATCACTATTGATAATGGACGAAGCTTCCATCGACCCATGAACCTGATTCTGACATGCTAATTTAACAATATTGTATGGAGTTTGGTACATCGAAACCGCAGATTTGTCATATAAAATGAACGTAATAGTGAATGCTTGCCAAAGACATCATTTCATACACAACGTAAGGCCTGAAACGTTGGTTTTGTGGCTCTGGGTTTCTGGATAACGTGCCATGTGGAAAATCTCGTCGAACTATAAGCTAATTAAAGAATTATTTGGTTGAATGAACAAAAATTCAGATGAGGTTTGTAAATATCTTCACCCCTCATGGTGTTTGCTTTGCTTCATGAACTGCCACCATTAAAGGCGGAAAAGGAATACATGATCAGAAAGACAGCACAAGAAAAATATTGGTATAAGCTGGAATTCCACCGTTTAAAACAGAGGGCGCCCGTCTTTGTGGATTACACATGGGATGACTGCAGAAGGGGTGTTGAGATAACGGGTAATTATGGCGACCCGAATCATCGGGTCAAAAGATCGACAGGTACCCAGAAAGTGATTGAAACGACGGCAATGTGGGGACATGTAATCAAGACACTTTCTTAAGTTGACTGGGTTGGGTATCTTTTTATTGATACTGAGACTTCACTTCCCCCTATAGGATTGTATGTTGCCAAGATGCATTTCACACCTTAGTTCATTAACCAAACAATGAACAATCTGGTCACCGATCTGAGGGATGGATTAGGACGCTTAGGTAGTTGTTAGATCGTCTATCTATAATGAACCATGTATCAATCTGTTCGGGGAAGATCTAGCTACAGATCGTATTGTGACTGGATTATCAAGCATGTGCCTCTTCATCAACAGATACAATCAGTACATCAGCTAACTCCGGTGCTGGAAAGATGGCTTTCTAAGCTTTCTTGTTCTGATTCTCCACGAGCTTAATTGCACGGCCCAAAACCTCCCTGTCACTTTGGAAAGTCAACAGTTCCATTGCATCCTCGATATTGAAAAACTGTGCAGCGAATTCCTCTTCCCCCTTGCTAGGAGAGGCCACCCTCCTCGGTGGAAGCTGGAGCGCGAGTCGGCATGGTAACAGGGAAGAGGCGGCACCGATAGCCCGTCTCCTCCTCCATCTCGCGCAGGCTGCCGTGTGTCTGGATTCACCACGGTTGCGGCGCCCTTTAGCAAGCATGCACTCATTTTTTGGTATGTAATGAACGAGGCAAACTTGGGTGGAAGACCCCGAAAAATCAAAAAGGATTGCGCCACAGCTTTCGACAAACTCTTCAGCGGAACACTGAGTGGTGGTAAAATTTGAAGTTGCCATTTTGACTGGAGATTGGTGATAGTGTTCCCTTTACAATCGATCAGGCTTCTTCTGGAAGTGTCGGCAACATGCTGTGTTAGTTGGGCCTCGTGTGCAGAAAATTTCACAAACGAACACGCAGAACAAAATGGGGCTTGGTCTAGGTTGTGTCTTTGACCGACCAAAATTACAAGGAAGAGCAAAACGCTTGTAAATTTCAGACAGCGTACTAAGTTAAATGTCGCGGGAAGAAATCCTAGCCATACTTGATCTGGGAAGTACCCCAAACTCTTCATAAATTTACAAACACTGAGAATACCACTGGTTGACGTAAGTGCACGTGTACGGGCTCTCACAGACAGTAGGACCAGTCCACCCTTGCCCACCACACTGGCCCCAGTGAACCTGCACAGGAGTGTTTGTAGCTGTGGCCGTTGCTGAGGTAGAAGTAGCCGTAACCGTAACACCTGTAGAAGTAGTGGAGGTGCCACCTGTAGCCTTGGCGGCGAGGACCGATGAGACCGAAGTCCATGCGGGCTTCTTGTTGAAGCTGGAGTCGTAGATCAAAGCATCACCGGCTCCGTTGAAGGTCGCAGGGATCCAGCTGTACTTGTCCGTGAAGCCCCAAACTGTGACTCCGACACAGCCAGTCACGTCGAGGCACGAGCCGACGACGTTGGCGTAGTCGTTTCCTTGGGTGACGAGAGCGGACGAAGAGGCTGGCAAGCTGGAGTGTCGGATATCCAATTCCGTGTAAGCCACCTCGACACCCAGGGCTGTGAAACGACGGAGAGCCGTGGACAGGCTGCTACGAGATGGGGTAGAGCCCACAATCAGATGCCCTTGAAAGCCTACTCCGTCGATGGGGGCACCGGCGGCCTTGATAAGGTTGACAATTTCAATGGTTTTGTCTGTCTTGGCACCGTTGTACTCCAGATTGTAGTCATTGTAAAATCTACATGATCTCACATTAGAACCACACAGCTTGGGTAGTAATTTCCTTTTAAACTCACAGCTTGGCGTTCGGGTCAGCAGCCCGGGCAGCAGTAAAAGAAATGGGGATGAAATCGGTGCCGAGCACGTTGTAGAAGACGCTAGTCCGGTATACTGCGCTGTCATCGACGGCCTCGTTCACAACATCCCAGTGGTAGCACTGGCCCAGATAGTGCTTCATAACATTAGAGATGTGAGTCTGGATGACAGCAGTTAGAGTAGCTTTAGTCCAAGAGCCGCTCGAGACCCAGCTGGGTAGCTGTGAGTGCCTGAAGGTGTTCTGGTGAGCTCCTGTCTAGGTAACAATCTAATTGAATACTTACCATGTAAGAGTGTGGCAACGTAAGATTTGGCCGTTCTTTGAAGCAATATTGGGAACCTAGGAAATTTGTTATTAGAATGGGTGCGCACTTGTATTATTCGATCTAAACGCACAATGTCACCCTGAGTATAAGAAAACGTGTTCTGGGACGGCTCCGTGTATGCCCATTTTTGACCGTTTTCTGGAACAACCTGTCCGAATTCAGTCGTGGTGGAAAGGAGACTGACGTATTGAGAGTCGCTCTGCTTGCTCTCATCCACGGCAGTACCAAAGTATTTCAGTCCAGCCCGAACAGCCAAGGTATGTAGCTGTGCGGAGACGGCGTTTGAGGCCACAAGGATGGCAAGAACTATGTCTGAACGCATGATGCTGACTTCAATTAGGCCCTTTGTCCGTGGTGACGACTCAAGCCTCCAGAAACGAGACTTGGTGACAGCCTTGGGACAATATATAGGATAGGTTATTCATAGCCATCACAGAACTTCCCACAATACATTTACGCATTTCTAATTATCCGTGACGGCTATTCAGTTCATCCGAACTTTCGTCCAAATCAGAAAACAAGTGGGTTGGCAGATGGGGCGATTGATGGGTTAACTGTCAGCTGGCTTGTTCGGCACCTAATGAGAGGGGCAGTGATGGGGTGACGAGCCCTTAGCTGGGACTCATGCTCAAATTAGAGTGTAACATTGAGATTCCCCCGGCCTATGGAAACCTTGTTGGTGATCCTGAGATCAAATTGCTGATCCGGCTGGTAGGCCGGCTCTTCTCCCCCCTTGCCAAAAGCAGTAATCAGGAACATCGAGCTCCAGCTCCCAAAGAAAAATCCCATGCAAAAACGGCGAAACTTGCCTAGGTGCCGACGGATCAGTCTTCCGCTGCCGTTTACCCATATGGCGGTTAAACGGGAGTATGCGGCTGCCACCTGAAATAATTAAATATTCATGGTTGACCCAAGTTTAATTGCCACTAACCCACGCGCGGCCGGACGAGGGGAGCTTAGGATGTTTGTGATGATGGAAGAAACAAGTTAAAACATTCCTACGAATCCCGTGGAGAGGTTTCTTCTCAAAGCTCTGTCACCCTCGAGGAAACAAACCAAAACCCAACCTCTATGGCGTTAACCATCCAGGGACATCCAGCCAGATGGGCCGTGACCCTGAGTTACGTACAAGAAAGACAAGGTGAATAAAGTAAAAGATTTGAGACTTGGTTCAGGCAGAGCTGCATTACTGGAAAGTTGCGAAAATGAGCATGGTCGTTTTCAAGTTAAAGAGTACGAAGAGGAGTATATATTTCATTATTAATGGATTTGGAATGATTCTGGAGGGGGCGTTTAGTCTATACTTGAGCAGATTCTCTAATGTAATCCTGTCGCCTATGTATCCCAGTCGCCTTCTGGAAAGGAGAGATCGTGGGAGTATTTTCGTCACTGAGTATAGAGGCAATAGGATATCGTTCCGCTTTGGAGGCCCAAATGAATTCATAGCCGACATATGATAGCACATCTATTCTAAGAGGATTTTCTCGATCTCGCGATCTGGATCCACATCGACATGGCATGCAAACCAGCCAGAAGCTTGACCTGATCGGAGATCTTTAAGCTGGAACACATTCCAGGTCCCATTCACTGCGGCGATGTTGTGCTTGAGCTCGTGGGCCGAAACTGTACCCGATGGCTGAGGTTTGACCTGACGGAAGAGTTGGACTGGGGCAAGAGATCCGCCCCAGATATTATGTAGGGATCCGAAGCACATGCATCCTGATGCGATAGTGAATGTGCCATAGACGCCATCTTGGTTCGCCATGGTTGCCTGCGAGGGTAGGATTTCCGGTTTGCTTCGACGTGTTCGACAGTTGGCACTGGTATTGTATTATTCTCTGCTTTGATCTGGAGTGCACAATCTTTTATCCTGGATGAGAGAATGATGTAGCTAGCGTCCAGGCAGCTTGTGGATAGCTGAGATGGAATGGGTAGAACGGAGCTGAGTCACTAGACTAGGCAACAACAAGCATGCCTAGCTAAGATGGGGTTACTTTTAATTCGCAGAATCTTTTGGAATAGAACTAAAACCCCAAGAGGACTATTTGATGGAGCTAGAGAGGTGCTCCCTCCGCTGGCATAAGCCCTTGAGGGGTGTGAGTAGTTGGCTGGTGAACGCAAACAAATATTCACTGCGGTGTTTTTTTGGTCACCATCTTGTTCATTTAAGATCTTTCGCTTAATCAATAGAGTTATTGACTATCTAAAGAGCAGCTGTAGATATGCAAAATATTCCGCGCTGGGTAGTGAGCTGAGTCAAGCTGGGTTGCGGCTGTGCTTCTTGGAGGATGAGGTCTTTCAAAGGTTGATCGAGTGCAAATAGTTTGAGCTTTGCGATATCGCCTTCAATTAATTGCTATCTATGTACTCTCTGTCTCCATGGTATCGACATTCTTGTCCTACAGATGAGGTGCTTCTTAGTACGCGGTAAAGCATAAGGAACAAAGGAGTTGGTGTGTTGGTGGTTGACTTGCCGAGATGAATCGAAAAGGAGAGATCGTGGGAGTATTTTCGTCACTGAGTATAGAGGCAATAGGATATCGTTCCGCTTTGGAGGCCCAAATGAATTCATAGCCGACATATGATAGCACATCTATTCTAAGCGGTAGTTTCACATATCCCATTACGTATGTCACAAGATTGTGCAATGCCCTCAAGAAGCGGGCACCAATGATTATTCTCATCGAAAGGTAAGCACTGGAATCTTCCGTATCCATAAATTGCATTTCAGATCACCAACAAAGGGTCCTCCTGATGCGATACATCACAAGATCAGCGCCAGATTGCCTGGAATAGACTGTGGCGGTTACAGCTGTGTCAAGCATAACGCAAAGAGGGCCAATCAAGTATCTAGGCCCCGCCGTACAACAGCACTTGCTTTTTTTTCAAGCAAGAGGAGACAGGGATTGTCTCCCATATGTTTGTTGAGGTGGTTCGCAATGCGTTGAGTAAGGCAGCCACCAGGTCCGTCCGCCAGCAATGTGATCACTCTTTTGAATAGTTCGAAACGCCACAAATGACGAACCAATTAACATTTTGGCTCTCAAATTACTCGATCCACTTGCCAGCACTTCTGTTCTTGGGACACCGCCCATCGCGATCGCCAGCACCTTCCATCGAGGTTTCCTGGTGATGTTCCCTCGGCCACCCTCTAGACCAGAAGTCCAACATCACGTGCCATAGGCGCACAACGACATCCTATCTTTTCGTGCTTCCAACCCTTGCGAGTGAGTGTCCTGGCTTAAACACTCTTTCGAGCTGGCCGTACAGGAGACGGCGTGTTCATCTATGATAAAAAGACGTGGCATTAGGTGAGGAAAGCTTGAGTGAGAAAGCTTCCGAATTTTTTTCCGAGATGAATACGAAACTGGAAAGGGCGAAGACTTAGTGTGTATCAGGATTGTTAAGATACGAGAGAACTTTTGCTCATATTCAATAAGAAATAATTTGGGAAGGATGACTGCGGAAGTATATCCCAACGCACCTGGTGTTCGATCGCCAATTCTTGGTCCGTACTTCGCATGTATTCTTCTTCATTTCGTAGTAATAATGTCGCATTTTCTAATTATCCCGGGTGCTTTAGCATGGGATTTTCTCCGGCAGAGGTGTGTATCTCGATAATAATATATTTCTGTCAGAATCAAGCTGCATTTTCTCCACGCTGAGAATGGGCGTGGGACAACTGGCGGCAGTAGATACCCGCCGTACTTTCCGAAAGTACTTTTTTTTTTTTTTTTTTTGTTTTTCCTTTTTTTAAAAAAGCTTCCTTGAAACAATCGAAGCAATACGCCTGAGACATAAACACCCGAAAAGGTTGCCCTGCAGCCCCGTTGGGATTGGAACGCACACGGCAATCTTAATGCGACCGACCCAAGCGGCCAAGCACATCAGCTTGGTCTGACAGAGCTACACCGTCATTCAGTTCGTTCGCTGCTGTTGCACGCTGTGTGCATTCAGCTCGCCAGTGGCGTCCAATCAGACCCGTGACGCAAGGTTGCATACAGGTGCCACATCAGGCGACGCGCTGGCTCAGGCCGCGATTCCTGTTTTCTTCCTCGCATCGCATTTTGTGCCCAAGAGTTTTCACTACCTAGGCACCTCAGGGCTTCTCCTTCCCATGCTCTTGGTGGACTGCGCCCCTTGACCCACGTCTCGCCATTGCATGGCTTTTCTCCCGTTCCCATCTCGCAGGAGACCTCGTTCTGCTCGTCACGCCCTCGAGAGATCGGCAGCCAGCCAGACCGCTGGAGTAGCGACGGACCAGACACTGGATTTGGCTACCATGGCTCCCGCCTCCTCCCAGTCTCAAGACGAAGGCCGTACCTCCGAAGGCGAGACGGATGGTGCACCTCTGCATCCGAGTGAGGCGGCCATTGCTGCAAGCTTGGACGAACAGCTGGAGCTGCAGCGAAAGAATTTGGCAGAATTGAGGTTGATTCTAGAGAACCATCGAGATACCCTGCAGGAGGAAGATGATGAGCCTGCGGGCCAAGTGACAGCCTCGGCGACAGGTCGCGTCGCCTCCAGGTACGATCCAACCGACACAACCCAATTCACTGGCCAAGTAGAGCTTCTCCAGCAAAAGATATACGAAGCTATTGAGAGAGCTGGCGCATCGCCCGATGAAGATGGATTCGCAGCAGCCCTGCATGCCATTTCTCCCTCAGCCGTGGTGAGTTTTTGCATTTGAAAAACTCTGCTGTCTCAGCTAATTGGTCATTACGGACAGAAACCCCCAAAGAAAACACGCGGCCCGTCACCAGAAGTCACTCACGGCACTCAGTCCAAAGGCAAGAATCCCGCCAACCAGGCGATCCAGCCGAGCCTCTCAACCGCGTTGACGCACCCCATCAATGCATCCTATAAAAAGCCCGTCATCTTTTACCGAGTTGCTTGCTCTGACTTGGATCCCAAGTGCAATAAGCGATTGTATCTTGATTCACCTCAGTACAAGCAGGGTCACCTCACGGGCGACAGAGTGGTTTCGGATTTGGAACAGTTCCTGAAGCAGCGTGAAAACCCGCCATTTGTCGTGTATCGCGCATTCCAATGCTCTGGCAGCGGATTTGTAACGACAACTCAGAAAACGAGTCCGGCACAAACTGATGAGGTGGTTTTAATCTTGAACAAGGACCTCCTTTCCATTATCAAGCGGCTCTCCAAGTTCACCTCCGACTTTCTCGACGATAAAATTTCGATCTTGGGACGAAACGATTTGTATAAAATGCCTGCATTATATCCTCACTATTTCCTCTATCATCACAGAAGAGAAATCTACTCCAAGGCGTCCGGGGCTTCTGAAGGAAGTCCAATCAAGCTTTTCGCTCAGTGGTTGCAAAGTCTCCCTATCCCTATGTATGCCGAGTGCGACAACCTGTTCTCAAAGCGTCTAGTATCCGCCACCACTCTGTGCTGGCTTTTCCCTGTCAACGGACTTTGTATAGTTGATAAAGGTCATCGAAAGCTCGGGTATGTAGTGGACGGTGTTGGTATGGACAAGGGAACGGTGATCCTGTCAGCCTGGAGCTGGGGATTCAACGGACAATGGGTGTTTCGCATCTATACGGTGCTCAGGGTGAAAAACACGGTAATCTCGACGAAGCCCAGCATGAAAATCGAAGACCTTGGAGTATACCCAATTGGCTATGGCCCAGAAGACATGAGCCAACAGCTGCTGGAGAAGGGCGCCAAATTCTGGAAGTTGAAGGACCAAGGATTTCATGCCTATGAAGGTTGGGACTACAAAAGGGAGACCTATTATGTGAGTCGAGCCTGGATTCAGCATCTTAGAAAGTCATTACTTATCCGAAGTAGACAGCAGACTCCCGATGGATGATTGACTACGACCTGTGGCTCGAAGCTGGTGGTCGCGATGAGTATGCCAAGAACCCAAAGGTGAAACCGAGGAAGGAACATGATAATTGGGGAGACGATCTTCCGGCCTCCCTTGAGCCAAGCGCGGTTCAGCAAATGCTACTCCCGCAGGCCATCCATGCATACAACACGAAGGAGTTGAAATGGAGTGAGTAACTTGGCATCGATGAGTCTACTGAATCTCGCTCAGTGTATGCACTAACCTCCGCAGTGCTTCTGTCGGTGGACCAGATTCGACCGGTTGCCTGGAACAAGGATGCATTCAATCGACTTATACTCCCGCAACGAACCAAAAGCATCCTCAAGGGGCTCGTGATGACGAAGAAACCGGCAGCTAAGCCACCTGGTTCTACCGAAACCCAGCAAGATAGAGCCAATTTTCTAATTTCACGAAACGGAAGGCCTTTAATTTTGCATTTCCATGGTGGTCCTGGAACAGGAAAGAGTTTTGCTGCTGGTATGTTTTCATGTCCATGGTCCTTGTCTTGATCTTGAGTGTTAAGCTAAGCTGTTTCTCGTATAGAAAGGTGAGGAAGTCGAAAGTTTTGTCTGGACAGAAGGCTCACCTTGACATTGGATCAGCCTAGCAGAACTTGCTGAGATGCCAGTTTTCCGCGTCGCTTGCGGAATGATTGGTACGACCTATGATGTATTGGGTGAATCTATTCGCCGCTCTCTTCGCTGGGCCGACAAATGGAAATCCAGTGCGTGAATAATCTACCTTGAGACCTTAGTGACTCACGGAACACTAAACTTCATAGTTGTGCTATTTGACGGCCTCGATGTATTTCTCGACAGGAGATCCGGATCGGATTCTGAATACAATCGTCTCGCGTCAGGTAAGCAAGGGATGCATCCCTGTCACATGCAGAGCTTATACTAAAGTACGCCCAGCGTTTTTCGAAGGTATAGCATGCCACGACGGTATCATCATACTAACATCTAGCGATGCCCAATCCATTGATAGCAAATATGCGTCCCGCTGCCAACTCAATGTCACGTTCCCACCGTTGGACAAACCCGCCAGACGGAGCGTATGGAAACACTGCCTCGACCAACTGCGGGCAGAAAGTGGGATTTCCTGCGCACAAGGGATTCAGTCGCACCTCGCTGCTCTATCGTCCCACCAACTTAACGGAAAGCAGATACATCACGCACTTACAACTGCCCGGCAGATGGCCCAATTTGAAAAGTCGAAGCTGGAACTTAAACATCTCAAGGACGCCATAGAGATAGCGACCGATTCTGACCGTCAACTGGAGTGAGAGCCGTCAGAATACGGAAGCGAACTTGACCAGGTGATGAGCGGAAAGCTATGGAAGTCGGAACCCTTTGGCGGCCTCATACACCTCGCTGGGTTACTATCCCACCTGTTGAGAAGGCCGAGTCATCCATCTGGTTACTGCTGCGATGACTACCGGAAATGAGGACCACTGCCTTTCTTTTCCCGTTACTCCGTACCGCCTCTATTTTTTTTCCCTCTGTAATCCTTTCCCCTACAAACAACGGCAGTCTCAGTGAAGGTTGGATACAAATTGGAAAAGCTCTTGGCGAGCAGCGGTTCATACTTGTGGTTGCATCGATGTTGATTGAAGGAGGAGCTTGAAATTCGTTGTATAGTGTGTTTTTATGAATTGACTCAATTTCTCATCATCACAGCCTCCATGTAATTGACCAAGAAGAAATAGTAGGGTGAATTATGGCGACGACGTTGTAAGCATGGCTAGTAACGTGATAACAACACTTATTCGTAGATGTCAAAGCTATTCTAAGAAACGACTTTCCTGCATACACCATCCAAATATCCGCTGAAACTAGCTGGTATTAGACCAAGCAGTCGAACTCTTCATACGATGTAGGCAAAACCACCCCCACGAGATATCGGAGCGCTTTAGAACGCATTTGGCCATGACTGGAAATACTTGTCGTACAATTGAGCCTACATGCCCGCCCCCCACGGATGAACATACCGTCTACCAAGTCAAAGATTTAGGGATCCCACGCGAGCTGAAAGTGGGTGGCTGGGTGGCTGGATGAGTCTAGCCCGTTGAAAAGCCCCCAAGGATTCCGTATTCAAGGTAAACGGGCGAAGCGAGCAAGAGGCACTGGGCAAGAAAAAGCCTAACAACGTTTAGGTGGTCTCCTCGTCACATTCTGAGACCAGAGCTGAGCTGTGCACTGACCGTAAATGCTGGGCAACAGCGCAATGGCTGAAGCTCGATGATCTAATTCGCCGCCATGCATGCGAGTTGCAAATAGCGCGGATCCTGGGCCGCCTCTCTCTTTCGATGGCCCCGATGATTCGGCGCATTTGTTGGGGTGCATATCGTGTCAGCCTGCCAAGCCAATCCAGCGTTTGCCACTGATGTGATTCTCCAATCATAAAAGTTACGCAAAAGCAACTAAGCTATTTGCTCATGTGACTGTATCTTTCCGTTAGCTGGCCCAAGAAATGCAGATCCGTCCCTCAAAACCTCTGGCTGTCTCCCCCGTGGCCCCTCGTTCATTGCTTTCTACACTCCACAACTATCAAATCACCATCTAGTTGAATAGTAGTCAATATGGAGCTCTACCTTTTTCTGTTGCTTCTCAGTTTTGTATCCTGTGCGAGCAGTGAGCCTAATGACTCCATGATCACTCAAGCTCCCGATTTCATTGGATGGATTCGGCAAGGGGCAGGTTGTAAGTAACACCTGAAATGCGACTACCTCGACAATGATAGTCTTTCCATTTGTCCTGGACGCTAACTATGCGTGCTAGATGAGGTCGCAATTTGCGAAAAGGGAGTATTCACCTCATCGAGGTATTGGGCGGCTTGCATCGACACGGACCAGCCAGCTCTGCCTACTCGGTGCCGAGATGGCTCTGTCTTGATCTTTCCGACCACAACAGCCATATGGTATGTCTACTCTGCCACCCTGAATATAAATCTGTTTAATATCTGTCGTGGTCTGAATGATTTGTCCCTAGTCCCACGACCGCTATTTGCCGGACTGATTGGTTCTTTAATGATCCGGCAGATACAGCTGCCCGCACCATGATCGGCTGTGTCACAGGCACACGAACATTGTACCATTATAGAACAACTACTGTGCCAACCATTACAAGCTCCTCCGCGCCAGAATCTAGCGGAGTGTCAGCGTCGGCGTCAGCTTCAACCTCAAGCTTGCCGCCAGTGACCCCCCGTGACCTTGCATGGATTGCAGGGCCTATTGTTGGCGGTCTTGCTGGGATTACACTGATCATTCTACTCGTTTGGTTTTTGATGAGGCGTAAGAACAGATATAAGAATCATCCCGCCTCTGCGATGCCAGAAACCCCTGACTCGGAGGCGAGGCCGGAGAAAACACCCGTGATTACGTCCGTCCCGGGCTCGTTGAAACGAAATCCAACTAGGAGAGTAGAGCTCCCGGGGCGCTCTTCGTCTTTGCGTAGCGTTCCTTAGACTCCGAGTTCTGGGATGGTATGGAGGGCAGATGTGTAGTGAGTGTCAATCTAGTATGAGGGGGATCTTGAGAAAGGTTTCCATATCCTAGGTGGAATATAGCTGGTTCAGTTTGTGTAAGACTTCAGAATATGGTCATAAGAGGGATTTTGTGGTCTTAAAATATTGTCATTAAATTTGGTCCCGATAGCACAGACTCTCACATTCAACGTGGCTCAATATGAAAGGAAAGCAAACCATTATCAATTCACATGCCAAACCAACTCATGTCCTTGGTACTGCTGCTTTCAGCGTTCTCTTCCCTAGAATGGATTTTCGGCGCCAATCATCTCGAATGATTCGGCATTGTCTGGTTATGATTTAGATTCAGTTTGGGCCTCGGGGTAACTCGAGATAGTGACGGAAGTGAGCCCAAGATACCATTTTGGACTAACTTATCAACCTGAGCCTCGAATCTCTCACGGAAAACCTCGAAGCCGGTTCGAAACTTCCAAGGGCCCGACGTAATGTGAGAAACCTAACCTCGAAGAAAAATTGGAGCAAACGTGAGGGGAGAATTGGATGATCTCAAGATTGGACTCTGGTCTGTTGGTTGCTCAGCCGCACCGCCTTACATACACCTAGTTGCCGTTAACCACGGGCCGAGATTTCTACAATTCAGGGGTTGAAAAAACGTAATATAATTACAAGGTACAAAAGTTCTCTGGCTAGGCAGACACAGAAGTTCTGCAACTGTCTGTTGGTCCTACAAGAAGTGGGCCAGCAACAGGGGACATTCTGCTCCATCTCGACCATCCCTGCGTCATACATTGGGCACGGCTCAAATGCTGCGTGAATATGGCAGAAAGCGGTTTACTTACGGCCTTGGCTTTAATGCGTTCTTTTTCACGGAAAATAATACAGTTTCATTGATGATATCTGGTACAGGCTTCGTCTTGTTCTGCTAGACATTAGACACCTTGTAGAAAGCAATGATACGTGCTGTTCTTGGAATAAAGATACAAAGATCATACCGCGTTGTGCTCGACAGAGTAGGCTTGATACAGAACTGGTGTGGTTTTCACTTTGACCTACGCGTGAGATGAGTGAACTATACAAGTCGGGCAAGGAAGGAGAGGAATATAATAACACTCCCCTGGCGTGAAGATTATCGTATATTCATAGTCTAGATTGAAAGTATTTTAGAGAATTATAAAATGAAGAGATAGCGGCATTTGAATTGGGTAGTTGCCTAAGACTGGGCTCAAATATTTGCAGGCGGGTATTTGTATGCAATGTACGCCAAGATAAGTTGAAGTAGACCGACGATGAATGACAGAACCCCAAAGATTACCGCTAGCAGTAGACCAATGATAGCGACAGTGAGTGCATTCCTCTCAGATGTATGCCTCTCGAACCAAGCAACCAGGGCGTTTGGCGGCGGAGGCTTCTTGACAAAGCCATGGAGTACTGAAAGGCGAGAGCCCCAGTAGTCAAACTCCATATCCATAGGGGTGGCCCGAACAAACTCAATCCATCTGCTCTCCGGATCAAAGCCTTGTTTCTGAATCATATTATCCAAAGACGCACGGGATCTTTTGTCGCGAACGCTGGCGACTGGATATAGAACATCGTGGAAAGTTAGTAGTGTTTCTAGTAGTAATTTTGGTGGCAAGGTTCCCCTAAGAGAGAATTAGCAAAGCTATTGGGGTGCGGGATCTTTGTCTAGCGTTACCTTTTCAAACTCTCCTCGAATGAAAGGTCCAATGGTTCATCTTTGGTCTTCTCAAGATGTACTCTTAGAAACGATACTTGGTGAAAGACCTTTAGCGTCATGTTTTTCGAGTCTAATATAAGATGCTCCAGCAAATTGTTTGTTTTCCTAATCTTGATGCCGTAACGTTTAGATAACTTCCATGCCTTGAGTTGTTTCTTGCTCCCGTCCTGGTGAGGTGTGCTACAGGGCAGCGAAACAGAATCAAATGCGTCTTGAATGAAGGTGACAAACGATACACTGCCTTCCCACTTGACGTGATGTGAGAAATTGTCAAGAAGGTCATGGGCATAGTATTCTTTGAGCGAGCAGTTGATAGCAAATGCCACTTCAGTGGTGATTCTAGCGATATGCTCCTTCTCCCGCTGACCAGGCGATCCCCCTGTCTTCGAATCGACTGCACTTTTAATGAAAGCATCGAATGAAATCTGTGGATTCTGAGTGATGAGATTGACGCAGTTGATAATATCGCCATGCGAGCGCAATGCCGGGGTGTCAAGCTCTATTACAGCATCCCCCGTGGAAGCTGGGCAAACGACTGAATGATAATGCTGGAAGAAAGCATCGAATCTCTGCGTATTGGCATGGTCGGCGAGGCCATCCCCGAAGAGTACCTTGATAAGATCACCGCGCTCAACTTCCGTAGGGAGGCGCATGGTGATGTGTTGGGTTTGAGAACATTGTCCGCGCTGAAGCTCTGAGAATTCTCAGGAACAGTCTCCCCTCAACCAGCCAGGGGTGAAGCCCGAACCCTTGCGTGGCTGAACATGCATGCTGACGGGCTGCAGGATGGTGACCAACATGTATGTAAGTGAATACTACCTTCTCCTGCATCGCCCCTTGTCAGCGGGGTCACTCTTACTTTCGCGCCTACCAACATTGTTTGACCCTCCGGAATCAATCAACATTTAATCATTTTCCAGCTCTGACCCTGCTGTTTGTTTAGCTGGTGATTCTTTTGTGCGAGACAGCCACGGCACCACCTATCCTCCAAGCCTTTTCACTAGCTGCTAGGTATGTGAATCTACATGTAATGAGCGTCTACTCCGGCGTCATATTCACAATTATTTATCTAGTTTGGGTTCGTCACACTCCACTCCTCAATCGAGTATGGTGCTCGATGATGTGCCAATACGGTCGAAAAGGCCAGCCATGCCAGGGGCGTTTTCACGTGGCCTGAACGTTGGAAAACTTGAGATACCAAGTGGCGGGAACCGTCAGGTTCAAAGGCTCTCACTTGTGGACAATGAGTCCTCCAGCTCCCGACCACTCGCAATCAACTCACCAGAGAAATTCGAAAAGATCAGAGATCAAGATATGACAAGATGTTGTATTGAATCCCCAAACAAACTGCAAGCTCGCTACACATACCCCAACACATTCCATGCCTCATCATCGTCCACGTCTTCAGACTTCCACAAAAGTGAATCGGGGGCTTCATACAGCACTGAGCTTAGCACCGCCCCTAGCACCAGCCCAAGCCCTAAATTAATCTCTCAACAGTTGCCTTTGGCAGAAGTAACGGTCGATGACTGTCCCTCGCTAGAGACGCATGAGGGAAACCAGCCAGGTACCCGAGATGACCCGTACCGGAATCCAGTACAAATCCCTGGTTGTCTGCCACCAACATTTGTTTACCCCCATAGTAGCTCATCCATACGCGAGTCATATCATAACAGATTTCGGGAGGTTGTAAACTTGTTCCGACGAAACACATACGAGGACCCGAAACTACGAGGGAGCATGCGGTTCATTGATTATACACTGAAGCTATGCGGGACTTCGCCAGCAGATGCCCGTCCATCTATCCTTGCCTTTTGCCGGAAAAGTGATTTCAAGGCACTCAACCGACTCTTAACCAATAAGGAGCTCAAATATCAATACTCTCTTCGTCGATCGTCCTGGAGGCCATCATGGTTGGGACAAGAAACAGCAGCTAGCACCACGAGCGACAAACCGTTGTTCAATCTGTATTTCTGGCGCCAGAGCAGACCGAGAAGCCTCTTCTGGGGGCAATGCCAAGCCAAAATACACGAGAGCCGAAGCGACGCATACCCTGAGAAAGCAGGAAGACCTTTGATATGCGGCTCCATTGTTGAGATTCGGACAAAGGACATACAATTTTCGACCCTTGGTTGCACTTTGCAGATAGGTTCTGAATGGTACACAACCACGTCAAGGCATGCATTCAGACATGCATTCAGGTCACCCACATCAGCGGAACACTTCGATGGGAAATCGGAGCCCGCTGTTTCTATCATACAACCAGCGACAGAACCTCGAAAAGAGGATGACCGGATTTATGGCTCCGATTCAGATCCCTCCGATGCTGGCGCAGAGGACTATCTAGTAGATGACATCGAATATGAAAGCCTCCCCGAAGAAGACGAGGAAGACGACTGGGATGAGGAAGAGACCCAAATTGCACTTGACAGTTACTGGGAGAAGATCAATACCACGCTTAGAAAAGGCCAAGATGAGGCGGTCGAGGAGGCACCTGTGATCTTCATATCGTCAGAGGATCTCGACAAATCTGGCGACCTGGACTTGGACTGGGCCCTGCTCAAATGGGAGAAGCGTAATGACCATACGTGGGTTCCAAACTCATATAGTTCACCCAACTTGCCAAGTCCCATCTTTCTCTCTAAGGTTTCCCAGTCTCAGCCGGTGAAGGAAACATCAGTTTTGGTCCTCACAAGTCGCCAATCGCCACGGCACGGAGTGCTACAGCCTGGTACTGCCATGCTGGGTGGCATAAGTGGAAGACAATCATCCATTGCATGGATTGTTCTATTGAATGAGAGGAGTAGTGAGTGATTCTAAGCTTTTCATGCCTTTAATTATGACCCTAGGCGTCCAATCTGTGTTCACTGATCCAATTTTGTTTCATGGAAACCCCTTACCCACCCTTTTTTTCACTACACCATCTCACTCAGAGTCGATCATCACTGCTGATGTTTTCCGACAGGTCTCACGTATGGTGATTCTGGAGCGCTTGTCATTGATGCCTTGACGAACGACATCTATGGTCATGTGATTGGGTCCAATCCGCTAGGTGAAATATACATCAGCCCATTCGTTTCGGTATTGCAGCAGATTCGACAGAAATTTTCCGGGCAAGCCCTATCACTACCGAAGCCCCCTAATATGAATACCGATACTTCTGCTACTACGGACGATATCATCGAACTTTATCATTCACTGCCAGATCTGTCTAAGGGCAAGGGTTTACCTATATTGGGTGAGCCGAGCCAGCCACATTGGACTTTTACACCAACCTCTAAGGCTGTACGGTTCCAGCACGACAGTATAGAAGAGGTTGCAGAAGAGCACTTCGAAGAATCACAGTCTGAGGCCAGTTCTGGAGGTGATCCACTTCTAAGAGTTACCCGTGTTCCTCCATATCCGGATGAGCCTCATGTTGCTGCCAACTTGGGGGCTGCTGGAAACGTTTTTGTGGTCCAGAAGGACTCTATGGCAGAAGAATTCGATGACGCATATGTTACAAAGCCACACCCTGAGACAAGTTCGGGGCCTACTAGATTACAGGTTTCTCAAGTTCATGACGAGAAGACACCGCTTGTATTCATACCTCCTCCCGAAGAATCGACTCCAAGTGCTGAACTACCTGGCCACTCCCAACCCGCCCACTCAGCATTGTATTTCAAATCTATGCCACCCTCTGCCTCATCGAATACTTTTGCCTATCGCCCACCTTCGAGACCTCTCATTTCTCCGAGAGATGTCTATTACCGGCAAACTCATGGTCCTCGAGTTACCAGTCTTGAGGAAACTCATAGGTATCGAGATCTATCACTTTCTGGCGCTGTGCCCACAGCTGCTGCCACGGGCCCAATGAGAAATAGGGGGCATCGTAATTTACCTCCTCCACAGTTTGGGCCGCATCCTACCACCCAGAGATTGGCTCAAAGGCAATCTAGCGCCGGGGGTTCCGCGCCACCAGGGAGACATGATAGATCCGAGCCTCCCTATCGTTCTCGTTACGAGGATCGTAGTGAAGTCCATAGCGAAGGAGATAACAATATTGGTAGACCGACGGCTGGGTATTATCACGGACCCCAAAGAGATGTCTCAAGTTTGCGTGAAGATCGAGGAGAACTACTTCATGACAGGGACGTATCGGAAGGGCAAGATTATCAAGCTGGGAAGATTGATGATAGCCCTTATGTCGACATGGATATTCTAAGAGGCGTCAGACCCCGGCATGATTTGTACTCGGGAAACGGGCCGATGGACATACAGAATTTTCCTCGGGCGAGAGACCCAGATGCGATGAAATACCAAGAGTATGTCGACAGCTCGATTCCTCTTACAGCTGAAGCTCTATGGAGAGCGAGGAATGCGAGGGGTAGTGGAACAAACAGACGAAGTACCACCAGCTACGCGACGAGCAGAAGTTCCGCTAGTATCAGGACAGGCCGTACCTCCCAAAGCTACGATACAGATATCACAGCTCCTTCTGAATATGGGGGAAGTGATGCAGGCGTCCTAAGTAGTGGGCGTTCTTCCATCCATGACGAACTAGTGACACCACCCGCACGGCGTTTCCAGAGGGCTCCAGGGGTACGTCAAAGTCTTGGAGATTCGCTCCGAAGACTGCGGTCGGAGTACAACCGGTCACCTCCCGATGGAATGTTCTCGAGATATGACAAACCCGGACCAAGGAGTGCCCAGAACTTGCATTCAGCGACACCAGATGATGGGGGCCGTGAGCTTCGTGATCAAGAGGGGTCTTAGAGCAAATATCGACCACCAAGATCCAACCAAGATCCAACCAAGGTGGTTTACGGACTAGTCGTGAATCAAATACCTACGACAGCTGTCTTTCCGCTGTGAAGTGAATATATCTATCTAATGTCAGATTGGGGAATACAACTAAATGGTTCTAAGAGTGATCAATGAAAGATAATGCATGAGTGTTATATTTCAAAAGGGTCTGTGAATTTACAATTAGATTTAAATAGAATGGTCTGCGCCACCACATTTTAATACTTATATTATTAAACTAAGAACTGTATATTACCTAACTATATAGCCTAATACCTAGCAAAATAAGAGCTATCTGAACAGGTATACCCTAGCTAGTGTAAACAGTGTAATAGAATACATTACATGTGTAGGCGTGAGAGGTTTTGGTGTGCAATGTCTTATATCACCCGGTTGCCGCTGTCTGAAGTAGCGCGGATCATACCGCGATTAAGAGGTGGCTTATTCAATCCCAGACAAATGCACAGCCCATTTGATCGCCGTCTATGTTTAAATAGCCCCCCGTCCCCCGAAGACTACGTTGGCATATTTCCTTTCTTCTCACCACAATCCAGACCCGACCGCTACCTGTGCTCATCAACGCTCGCCAATTTAGGGCACAGTGACCATCATGGCTGACATAAATAGCACGGCCATACGCGAGTATGGATTTAGTTGCCCTTCTGGCGGGCATGTGCATATCTGTGAAAGAGCAAAAGTAGAGTTCATCGGGTGCTGTGCAAGTGACCCCTGTGCCGGTGATGAAGGCATCTGCCCCGACGATCACCTAAGACCGATGAGTTACTTGACTACAAGACAGTTCGGATACCTTCCTCTAAAATGCGTGGACACAAGCAAAAAAGCTAAATTTCAAACCTGCTGGGGTATATATCCTGGGCTCACGTTTGTTGGATGTTGCGAAACCACACTTTACGGCGGCGACACTGGGACTTACTCATGCAACTGTGCGCAACAAAGCCTAGCACCCATGATGCTTGATGAAGGATCACGAAAAATCATTTTCAATTTGGAAACTGAGACATCTCAAGACTCGGGAAATATAGGTTTGAAACTGGACAACTGGGAACAGACTCCGAGCACCAGTGCGATGCTCAGTTGGGGAAACCTGAGAAACGCTGATGTTGGTGGGTTGGCCATCGGCGCCGTTCTATTCCTGATTCTTCTTCCTGCAGTATTCTTAAAGGTCATGTGGAAGGCGCGAAAATTAAACCTGTTAGTACTTTCTACCTCCTCGAATCAGCCCAGGCTTAGATGTTCACATTGTTACTACTTAGTCAGGAGGTGACTCCCGACACAACAGAATGTTTCTTTAGCGCCCCTGATTGTACATCTGTTCATGGGATTAAGGTAGATCAAGACCCGGAGTCTTGTCAAGTTATTGCGATTCCTACCGAAGAAACAGCAGTTAACCCTGCCTCCGATACCTGGCCCAGTAGCCCGCAAAAGCTACATCCGAGAACTTGTATTTGGTACCTTGAATGGGCATGGGAAATTCTTCTTACTCTCTTACCCATTTTCTTCATTGGTAAACACACGCTAAAACACGACGCTCCTAATGTTCCGACGCTAATTATGAACCTGATATGCAGTTCTTTGTATTTTAGCATTGCTCCTTGATGGTCGACCATTGTCAAATCATGGGCAGGCAGTGCTAGATATAGCTCGTCTCATACCCACGGCTTATCCTATAGTATTTGCTGCCATTGCCAGTCGATTCTACAAGGGCCTGGCTCGCTGGTATATAGAGCGGCCTAATGGTGTCAATCTTGCTGTTCTTGAGCAGGTGCTGGGCAGCCAAAGCTTTGCAGGGGCCCTTGAGCGACTTCTATTTGTACGCACTCAAGTGCAGATCGGTGCAATCATCCTAATCATATGGGCGATGTCACCTCTGGGGGGGCAAGCCGGCTTGAGAATGGTCTCTTCCAGTAAAGGCTCCTCGAAGATCGCCGGGAGTATTTGGTATCTCCAGCCGGGCGCCCATCAATCCTCGTTCGGGCTTTTGGAAATAGAGGGCGCCACACGAGGTCACATATTTGCATTGTACTCTTCCGGTCTCCTATCTTCGTCAAAGCAAAGGCGGTCTCCCAGCGATCTCTGGGACTTGCCAAAGGTTCCACAGTGGACTGCGGCAAGTAATGAGTCTTCCTTTCGCGAAATAGATACTGATGCCCTGGTCAATGGCGAAGCAGACTATGTTTCTCTGCTAGGAACAAAAGTACAGGGCTTAGAAGTGACCGCCTCAAATGTTTTCTACAATTTTTTGATAACTACGCCATATATAGACCTCAACTGCTCTGCCTATACCGGCATGTCTTTCGAGGCCAACCCTTACCAGTCTATCCTACATTCTTTGGGAATGTCGGCAAATTTGAACGGATCTTCCTTCCGGGCAAATCTGGGAGATCGCGATCAGCCCTATCTTCTCTTTGCGAGTTTGGATTACTCGAATGCGTATTTCGCGCTCTTTACCTGTTTTATGCAACTTGTTACTGTTGAAACTGAAATGCAATGTGCCCCTAGCAATTCATCGGCAAACTGCTCAGCAAAGCGCCAGCGACTTCTAAAAAGTTCAGAGAAGGTGGAGAACCTTTACGGTCCCTCTGATGAAATGAGGAAGGCCCTCAAGTTATGGCAGTACGCCGACGGTTCTTCGGCAGTCTACTCAGCATCGCCAACAGATAGTTATCTCGCCGGACATGTATCGCCCTACGCCGGGCACAATCTCATCAAATGGTCCGAAGTCGACGTGGGTAACTATTCTAGGCGTCTGACTACTCTTTTTAACACCTACATGAGTGCCTCTATAAATCCAATGGGCCATACCGATGTTTCGTTTTCAAAAAGTGGAAAGAACGATCCGTCGCCTTCTGGAGCAATATTAAAGACAACTGCGGCGAATGCAACGATTGTTTTCGACGTTTACGAAACCAATAGAACCTGGGTGGGTGTAGCTCTCACAGCTACACTACTGCTTCAGTTGCTCGCAGTACTCGGGCTCATGCTGCGATTTCTGGTCAAGGGGCCAGACATATTAGGATTTGCGAGCTCAATGACAAGGGACAATCCGTATGTAAACCTGCCTGAGGGTGGATCGGGTTTGGACGGTCCAGACAGAGCAAGATTGCTAAGAGGGACTCGGATACAGCTTGCAGATGTGCGCCCGGAGCAAGAAATCGGCTACATCACGCTGCGAGCAGTTGAACCCAAATACTCCACTGATGGTGTCAAAGGCTACAAGGTTATGGATAATTGGCGACCATTTACCCGTGGAAGGTTGTATACATAAATCCTTTAGTCCATGCTCACTATAAGGAACTATGTCAGAATATATATAGTAGGGTCCCTCTTGGCTAAGTCATAGATTTCTCTTTTGGCCTAGAGCGATAGCATTTGGTAAGCTAGCTATGATGGGTGAGAATAGACTAGGTACAAAAGGACAAGATGTGTTGGTTGAAAGTAATGGTTGAAGCGAAATAAAACCTCTCCTGGGCATACCCCCATCTCCCTTGTGAAAATTCCCGAGCAGGAAATTTAATTTAAAGCTTGGCCTGAGGCCCAGCCCACATTCCGTGGTAGCCATAGCCCATGGGAATTGGTGCATAGGCCCTCGCAATCTCCTCCATGGTCTTGGCGTCGAGGAAGACCACGGCGCTGGTCTTCTTCTCAGAATCCAAAACGATAAAGGCCAACACGCCGTCGTCCTCGATTTTGCTTTCAGGGTTGGGGATGAAGATGGGCTCAGAGGGGAGAATGGGCACAGCCGGCTCCCAGACCTTCCAAGTCTTCTCGTGGGTATCGATCTTGATGATGGAGTCCATCATGTTTCCCTTGTGCTCTGTGTGCAGGCCATAGGCGTACCGGTACGGCCTACCGTTCAGTGCCTCGTTGATACGGGGCATTTCAAGGTTAGCCTCGTCAAATGGGAGGAAGAAATCGACCGAGGCTTTGTGCGTGATCAGCGAACCGTTGGATGAGTGGGAGCCGTTTCCGACGAAGGGCAGACGATAACGGGTGAATTCACCCTCCATCTCCTTGAACTTTTCAGTTGTGTTCGTCTTGCTGCGCAGGGTTGAGAGCATGGAGGTATCGAGGAAGAAGTAGTCGTCCATGCGGGGAAGATCGATGAGAATGTCGCCATTATCATCCTCGAACGAGTTGATTTGATGGAAAGCAAAGAATGTCTCGTCAATGGAGTACTTGGAGACAATCCCTCCGTTGTGCCTATCCACTACGTAGAACAGGACTGGGCGGTCTTCCTTCCAATCTCCCAAGGTTGATCGGATGGTGCCTTTGGAGGGCTTGACTATGTCAGCCTGCACCACGATGAGGATGACATGGTTATCCGTGTTCCAAAGTGCGTGGATATATGCCGCAGGCGCATCATCAATTGTAGCCAGGATCCGGGTCTTCCCTTCAGGTTGTTCAATGCCGAAAACTCGGTAGACAGGCGGGTCGGCATCCAGGTCGAGGTGGTAATTATACACGTTTCCGTCTGTCGTCAGGGCGGGGTGAGTTGCGGAGCGGCCTGAATTAAGGAGCAGGGGATCACCAGCCTCGTATGTGAAAAGCTCAATCGGCTCCAGCGTGACGGGGTTAATCTGCTGCATCACGACCCTGTCCGTGGTGACAACCAACGTATCATAGTAGGAGCCGTTCTCAGTCGCGTTCTTGTCCAGGCCAGGCCAGTTCCCAACGTAAGCTACACCGACATTGGCAGAACTGGCATCGCCAAGGGAGTGCGAAGCATCCCGGAACGTGTTCTCAAACTGGCCGAAAACGAGCTTGCTCGGGTCAGTCGCGAAAGCACCGTTTGGGAAAACCCCGTGCTCACGGACAAAGTCGAGCAAATCATCCGTGCTGTTGCGGTTGCGGTACGTCACAGTGCCATTCTCGATATGAAACTGGTGGTTGCGACTGAAGCCATCCAACCAGTGGTCACCAGTGAAGTTACCCACGTCCCAGGTGCCAGGACCTGTACGGTAAAGCTGGCCGGTGACCCAGGAGGGGATGGTGCCTCTGATCTCAAGCTTGGCTGGGTCTTTATGCTCATGAGTAGCGTAGAATCCCCATTCAAGAGGCTCTGAACCAGGTGGAGGGCCGCCGTCGCCAAGGGGTTCGCCAGAGGCTACTGAGGCTGTGCCGACGAAAAGTAGAGCGGCGAGCAACATTTTTGCGTATAGCAAGCCGAGGATGGTCGAGTTGTTTCGGTTCTAGTACGTGTTGAAGTTACAATTGCGAAGAAGTCAAGAGAGGGAAGATGTTTGAATGTTCTGGAGATGTTGTGAGAAGTCGGGAGGTCCTCGATGATCTTTATATACGTATGAGTCCGAATGTAATCTGTTCCAGTCTTTCATCTTGAGGCAGTGCCATCTCCGAAACACCTCGATATGGTAGCACTGTTGCAATGGTCAGCATTGCCGGCCGGGAACTAGGGACAGAGATTTTACTAGTTAGAACTTGCATCGCAATCGGGTTTTTACACGAGCCAATGGAATCTCGATGCCAGGTGAGGGCTTTCAGAGCCAGAGTCACAACCCACGTAGCAGACATGCTGAGGATGGTAGGGATTGTGTTGCACCTGGATCACAACGGGAGCCGGAAATAATAATTACTGGAATGTTATTGGCTAGCCTGTGCTTCGCAATCGGCTTTTATGAGCTGTCCAATCGGGTTCCGGTTACAGGCAGGGATGATTAGAGCAAGGGTTGTAAGCTGATGATGCCAAGTATTCTCCGACACCCCGAGCAGAAGCTCAAATAGCAACGGCAAGACTTTCCCATCCAATGATACGGCACCATTTTATAAGCAATCTCATATGGGATAGATTAAAAAATTGAATTTTAGGTAATACAGAGTACCCCGGAGCGATAATAAGGGCAAGGGGGCTGTCAACAGTGTATTGCCACTCAAGGACAATACAGAGTTCGGAACATACATGTATGCTGTCGAAAGGGGGTGAGTTCGCACACCGCTGGAAGTTGGCTTCGGGAAAAGAATGAGAAACTCTAAGTGAATTGAGAGCCAAGGCTGAAAACGGTTTGTTCAATGAGTTGTGAAGGAAAGGGTGTTGACGTCAGATTTACATAGTAGAGAGATGCTTCTTCAGAAACGCTCGTTTGTGTCTTGGCAGAACAGAAAGCACCCGGGACGATCAACATTATCAATACCTCAGCTAGGCACGGAGTTTCTTCATAAGCAAGAATAGATGCTTGGAATTCCTTTTGTGCTATGTATATATTATAACTTTTATGACAACACCACCAGGGTGTTGTGGGATGCTCTCCGGGCCTATTCAACCAAGGAGTCCGTAAATTAAGTCTATCTCTAGATACATAAAGACGAAGAATTTTCCCTGAGAGGAAGCAGCTTTCTAGTTGCCTTTATAGGCGTTATTCCTTATCGGTTCTGAGGGTTCAGAAACCCTCGGGTGACCGGGATCCTTCCTATGTGACCACGTAACCCTAGCGGAGCTCTTCGTAGGTATAGCCTGTAATACTAAGGGCAATTTCACTCAGCTGCGGAGTGGTATCTCATCAGAACACGAGCTGGTGTAACCGTAGCTACCCTAAACCACCAGCATCACCAGTATCGAACGTATTGCAGACAGAATCTTGTGATCCGTCTTTAGTTCGAAGCTACAAGGTATCTAACTAGAGACTACCTGTTCACCTGCTCGAGACTTAATGATAAATTATTTAAGAGTATTGTTGGGTTACAGCATGCCACATTGAAGAAACTCGCATCACATTCCGCCACGATATTTAAGTCAATCTCCGATATACAAATCTCCTCTGCTCTATAGCTTGCGTCGCCTTATTCTGGTTGCAATCTTGCCTTTGGGTGGTATAGTTCCAAAGGGGAAGTACTCCATGTTTGGCTTCACTCTCGCCGCCGACTCGAGATCGACAATGTCAATCTCATACGCACGAAGGACGAGCGCAACCGAGACCATCAGTTCCTGCTTGGCGAAATGGCGGCCAGGGCACATGTTGAAGCCGCCACCATACGGGTACCAGTACCCGTGAGTGCCATCCGTCACAGCCCGCGCCTTGCGATCATCGTCCGCCGTCCGCTTCCCGGAGTCTCTAGATGTCGTAGGGCCCGCGCCTTGCTTGCGGACAGGACCGCTTGCCGGGTCATCTGGATATCGGAGGAATCTCTCGGCCCAGAATGTATCAACAGGATGCTCGAGTGATCCGTCAGGCAATGTAAGCCCGGTGTTCCAAAAGTCCGGATCGCGGCCTCCGTACCATGACGTGGACAGCATGCACACGTCCTCCTTGAATTGCCACCTGCCAAACTTGAGGTCTGGAATAGTTGATGTTCGGCCCACCGGTGCTGCCACTCGGAGGCGGAGGGTCTCGCAGTAGATCGAGTTTAGCAGTGGTCCGGAGCAGAGCTTCTCAAGATCAAGGGACAGCGACCCCTCCTCGAATGCAGGGCTCATCTCAGTTATTACGCGGTCTTTCAGATCAGGGTCAACCAAGATGTTGAGTAGCATCCAAAGAGCAGCCGGGATCGCGTTTGCGTTCAACCTATATATTGTTAAAGTCCGCATTATCTTTCGTGGAGTTGGTTCATTCACTTACGCCCAGATCAAACCCAGATCAAGAGCTGCCGCACCTTCCGGCGAGAACCCGGTCGTCTGAAGCAACTTCTGCCTCGCAGTAATCAGCTTTGATCCGAACTCGGGCGTCCATTCCTTTGCCAATGTCTCCTCGTCTGTCATGGAAAGATTCTCTCTCGTGTAGTTGTGGAATCTCAAAACGCTCGCGAATGCCTTGTCTCTTGCTTCATAGCAGCTCGGAATAAGCCATCTAGGAAGTCTCTTAAATAACTTGGGAAGGACATGATCAAACGCCCAGAAGTCTTCCATGAATGTCGGCGACAGCTCGAGGAACTTTTCGCCGCAGAACGATTCCAACGCGGCATGAGCAATGTCGTCTCTCATCCACGTGTACAGGTTATCGATTTCGACCCAGTCGCCTTTTGCGAATCGAGCGTCGGCCTCAATTGACTTTGTATATAACCTGATAAAATTATTTGTCATGACATTTAGTGAACTTCCAGAGAGAAGAGTCTGCAGATCCCGATGTTCGATGAAGTGAAATCTGTGAGCTGGCTCGGCACCCTCGAATCCAGCCGCCGGTTTCGCGGTAATGCCGGACTTGTCACCGATATAGAGCTTGACGTCTGGAACTGGGACACCAAATGCATCCCGCGAAGTCATCACATTAAGCGAATGCGTCGTGAGATGGCGAGATGCTTTGAACAGCTCCAGGATGG